TACTCACCTCTTGTTTCCAATTTTGAGAAGTTTCATTGGAAGCAATTTTCTTAGAAGCATATAATGTTTCTTTTTGTAGATTGTTAAAAACATTTTTTTACTCCATAAAAGATAACTTATCAACATTAGCATATTTAAAATGGTTTACATTATTTTTCTTACTTTGACATTGATTTTCCATGAAACAATAGTTTGCCTCTTCATCACTATCAGATGAGCTTTCATAACTTGAGACATCACTATCACTATCCCAAGCAACATAGGCTTTTCCAGAATTCCTAGAGTTGTTTCTTTGTCCTTTTCTCTTCTTATGGCAAAGAGATGGACACTCCAGTCTATAATGACTCAGCTTTCCGTATTTATAGCATATACCTTTTCACTTATCCTTTTTGTTGTCTTCTTCTTTAGAGGATGTGGATTGTCTTTTAAATTTCACAAGATTATTGTCAGAGTGTTTGGCACCATTCTTCCGAATTTATCGATTGTATCTCCTCACAAATAATCCAATTTGTTCATCATCTGAATCTTCTTCATCACTAGAATCCCTATCATTAGCGTGCTCATCCTTTAAGGACTTTAATTTTGAATCTTTAAGAGATTTAAACTTCAATACTCTCTCCTTATTGGTGTCTTTATCCTTTTTCTTCTTTTTCTCAAGCTAATTTTCATGTTGCAAAATTATTGGTTTCCTTGATTGTGGTGACCTTTGGTTTCCAATTCCTAGTAATACATCTCAAAACCTTGTTAGTAGAAATAACATTGGAAATAGGATTATCAAGCAAATTTAAACTATAAATAAGATGCAATAACCACTTTTGCATTTGAGCAATGGTTTCACCATGCTTCATGTGAAAGAGTTCAAACTCTTGATTAATGGTATTAATACTAGATTGTTTGGCCTCATTAATTCCCTCATAGGTAACTTGTAGAGAATCCCACATAGCTTTAGCAGATTGACAATGGGAAATGCGATAAAAAAACCAAGAGTGGATATGATAATATTTTTCGCTTTCCAATCGTGTGCCCTCTTCTTATTATCATCCTTATTCAATAATTTTTTTGGCTTAGGTATAACAACACCATCAACCTCACATGTCACCGGTGTTGGACCATTTTGAATGGCTTCCCAAACACCATTGTCATATGAGTTGACATGATTTTACATACAAGCTTTCTAATAACTATAGTTTTCTCACGTGAAAATTGGGGCTCTTTTATAATCTCGTTTAGGTTCGTGCGCCATTTTCTAATAAGTTTGGAAGCCAGAATGAACTGGGCTCTTGATGTCACTTATTAGACGATGAAAATTTCTTTTGAGTGGGGTGAACAAATACCCAATTAAAAATTCCATAAAAATTCTAGTTTTGAAAATTTATTTATCAAAGAGTGTGAGCAGAAGATTTTCAAAATCAGTTATTGGAAGTCGAATATGCAAATTATAACAAATTGAATATGGAATGAAAGTAATAAATGGAATTTATATGCTTTAATCAATTAACAACTTATTTAACATTTATAGCAATTTACTAGTAATGTTATTTCCAATGAAAACACTCAAAATACTAAACTGAATAATTTGTCGAACACTTAGTGTGCAGCAGAATTTTCAGAATTTTCCTTTGATTTAACCAAGCTACAAAATTTGTCAAACACTTGATATGCAGTCAAAGTTTCATAATTTTCCTTTGAGTTATGTTGAAATGAAAAAGAACTTATAATCAAAAGTGATTATAAGCAAATCAATAAACAATTAAAAGAACAGTATCGTAAAATTCCTACGCGACGATAGATTAGTCAATGCTCAGAGAAAATAGACACGAGGATTTTTCTTCACATTTCCCCATTTTCGTCCTTGCGTGTGGGTACGTCTGCACCTAATTCCAATGGAATTAGGATAATTCATACTATGCAAAAAGTTTATACAAGAGAAGTGTTCAAGAGAAACTCCAAAAACCCTAATGCTTATTGTTGATTCAACCTATTCTCTTCCAGATGAAGACCTTTTCAAATATCAACCTAATATTCTCGGCTGCACAAGAACCTAATTGGACGTTATCAAACCTCATCTAGACGCGCCCCTGTCATACCCTAATTTTCACCTAAGATCTCATCTTCATTTTCATTATTTTATATATACATCAAGGTTATGGAATATGGTAGGTTTTGAACGTTTCACCTTCGAGCATTGCCTGAGCAAAGATTATCAAGTGTTATGAGCATTTTATCTTATGAATGACTAACCACTAATCAAGCATGAAGTGTATGTTTTGTTTCTTTGATTTCATATGCAGGAAACATATTTGATTTAAGAGCATCAAGCGTCATGCCTCAATTAGGGTTTCGAGTCTCTCAGGACAGAAAAGAAGTTGATCGTTGATTTTAAAATACTGGTTCATCAAATGAACTTTCAAAGAATCGTGTGTTTATTTCCATGCTCTGTTCAACAAGTGACCTCGAGCTTCTCGGAAATTCTTCAAAAGAAAAGTCAAGGTTTCGTAACCATTAGTTCATGTGTGTTTCTCCTTGCATTGAAATACAAGAAAAGTCAAGCTATGCAAGTCAATTCAAAGCGCTTTGACAAAAAGTCATCTGCAAGTTTTTTCATGACTCGGAGTGAATTTCATTAAAAATGGGATGATTAAATTCAAGACTATTCTGGAAGAATTCCGAATACTTGGAATTTTCTTTATTTGAATTCAAGTGTTAATTAAATAGAAGTTACCAAGAGATCTCATTCAAGAATAATATTTCATCGCATTAGACTTTTATTCAAGATTATTTTGTGTGATTATTTTGGTGGATTTACGTCATGGCTATTTGAATTCACATGAAGCATTTATTCAAGAATATGTTGGAAGAAGGAATTTGATTCAAATAATCATTTATCATAAGAATAAATGCATGATGGTTACAATTTTATTACAAGGTCAATTCATGTGGTTTATTTGATTCTCTAATGCAAAATTAAAGATTGAAGTCTTAAGGATTTCATTTTTATTCATTCATCATTCAACAATACATTCAAGTATCAATCAATTATTTTCCAAATTCAAACGGAAGACTTTGAATTTCATCAAGGCATATCAAGATTCAAAATTTAAAATGAAGATTCAAAGTTGTTTACAATTACGAAAGAGTTGAGGAATTATATTGAAGAACAAGTTTCATCCATGTTACAAATTTATTGGAATCATTACTACAAGGTTACAAAGAAAAGTTACAAGTTTGTACAAAATATTATTTCCAATATTCTAAATTTCTACCCAACAAGTTGTTGTAATGCAACCTATTTTCCATCCTTGTTGCAATATAATAAATATTCAATTTTGTTGTATTTTTCTGCCCAAAAAATGCAGCAAAACAACCCCAAAAAGTGTTGTGAAAATGCTACAAAACCGTCTAAAAAATAGCAAGCATGACAGTCCAAAATCTATTGTAATCTGCTATACAGTCTGCTCCAATCTTCATCAAAATAGCCACAAAATTGCATCAAAATGGCTAAAGAAAATTATGGGAACAAAGCATGAAAATAGTTTGTCAAAACAGTTCAAAAACTCTATTGTTTTCCATCTTCATGGACAGAAAATGGACACACAAAAAAACTGAGGAGAGGAAAAAAAACCAGAAAACACAAACAAATAAAATTCAGCAAGACAACACAGAAAATTCAAAGGTTCAGCAAGAGAATAAACAGAAAAAGGAAAAGCGTGTTTAAAGTTTTAACAGAAAGAGAATAAACAGAGGGGAGAAACTTATTGTTTTTTCTGGAAGCCCCATCGGAGAGACTCCGATAGGTATTTTTTCTTCCTCTCTATCTACTTCTGCATATATCCATTTTTTAATCTTCTTTGCACCACTTTTGTTCCATATGATTGCTTGGAGTTGCTACTTTTTTGTTGGCATTAGAATGTTAGAATAATAATAATGGGTGCTGGAAAACATACAGTAATAACATAAATAATGTAAATAAAATAACCCTAGACTTTCTAATGAGGCAGCAACTTGATACACATTTCTCAAATTCTCGCCATATTCTTTACTTCCCCTGCTTTCACGCTCTCAATCCTAACTCTTTATCACTCTCTTTTGCTCTTTTGTTTACTCTTCCTCGTCTCTAAAATACTAACAGTAACACCAATAATCCTTTCTCCTCGTAATCAATATCTACGCTTTTTTTTGGACCGAAAAGAACAACAACTACAAGCTCGCCTAGGTTCTAACTCAGCAGAAATAACAACACTAAAACCTACCTTCAATTTCTATGTTTGTTTTCACTTTAGGCGCGGCTTTAAAGCGCTCAACATTCTATCAATCTTTGGTTCTCTCTTAAAATCGAAATACCGAAAGACCGACTCGAAACCTCAAACAAGATATCAGGCAAAGGTTTATACAGAAAACACAGTTACACAGAGAATCAGGAGAAACTCGAACCTGGATTTGTGACTTCAAAGCAGACTAAACTAAATGGAACTTCCCTCTAATCAACCGTTCTTCTCATAACCTCCACCATCCTTTTTCCGCTCAACACCATTATCACATTTTCTCCGCCAAAATCAGCTTTTCCCTATTCCTGCAGCTCTGTCTATCATCAACAGAACCAAAACCAACCGAAGATAAAAGAAGAAGCAAGAAACATAAATCGATATCATACATGTTACTAATCCTAGAAAGCTAATGATGAGGCAGATCTTGATCGATGTTGGTGCAGCGTCTCACCTACCACCATCGTCACAACTTCTATGACAAATCTAACCAGCACAGGGTTATCAAAAACCCCAGTGTTAAGCTTGTTTATCATACCCTGAAGAATAGTGCTAAAAGACCTAAGTGTCCTGCTACTGGCAAGAGAATTCAAGGAATTCCACACTTGAGGCCCACTGAGTACAAGAGATCAAGGTTCACTGGAAACCATAAGACCAAAACCTCCCCACACTAAACCCTCTCTCTTTCTTTCTCCCTCCCTCTAGAAGAAAACAAAACTGTGGTTTCATTTTTTCAAAATGGACCGGAACAATCTCTTCACTCTCGCATTCATCTGCATTATCGTCACCAGCGTCGGAGGCCAGTTGCCTTCTGCAACCCCCGCCACTACTCCAGCTGCAACAACTCCAGTCTCATCACCTGTATCTGCCTCTCCTAAACCAGCTTCACCAGTCCCCGTTGTTTCTCTGATTCACCAGCTCCAACCTCTTTTCTTCCTCTACTCTCCAAACGACAGCCGACTCTTTCCGCCGTTCAATAGCCAACTCTCTCCGCCGTCCCATGCCGCAGAACCCACTCTGAGTCACCATCCTTCTTAGCGGAGGCATCGACGGCAACGTTGTTCTCCGCCTACTCCCCGAGCTCTAGCATCACGCGATAACAACCATTGAAACTTTATTAGTGGTTTGGAAACAGAGAGAAGGGAGAAAGAAACAGTCGTTCCAACAAGAGAGAGAGAGAGAGAGAGAGAGAGAGAGAGAGAGGAAGAAGTCTCTTATGTTTTCCTTTTTGTTTCAACTTTTTATTTGCTTTGTTCGAATTTACAACAATAATAATAATTCTGTTTTTTTCCTTTCCCATACAGATAATAATATTAAATCCATATCCCTTCCCAAGACACCAACAGCTAGCGACGCTTCATTGCTCTAGGATTTTCAAAACCTTTCTTTTTTCTTCCAAACGGGTCGGCCCTTTGGGCCCTTTGGCCCAATCCAATTATTATTTATCCCTTTTATATTAATAGATTCATAATAATAAACGAATAGTAATCTAGTACGATAGGCAAAGCACATTACCCATAACTTTAAAGATCTGAGTTCGACACCTGTTGGGGCTTTTTTTTTCTTTCTGTTCTTTGGCTCTTTTTTAAGCCTTTTCTTTCAATTTCATTAAATTTGATATATATATATATATATATATATATATATATATATATATATATATATATATATATATATATATATATATATATATATATATATATATATATATATATATATATATATATATATATATATATATATATATATATATATATATATATATATATATATATATATATATATATATATATATATATATATATATATATATAGTTTAGTTTATTATATAATTATTATTTCATTATAACACATAAAAAAATGTTAATATGAACTAATCTTTTATTTAATTTTTTGTTAACATGCTATTAATCCTTTATTATTTATTTATTCAAAAAAATACATATTTCATAATTTAATTTTTGTTATTTAATTAATTGTCTAAATAAATGCTATTTAGTCTTTGTCTGATTTTTGTTATTTATTTAATTATTTAAAAAAATGCTTAAATAAATCTCTTACTAAATTTTTTTGTCGCTCCAATTAACTTTATTTTCGATTGTTTAATCATCATATCTTTTGTCCCTTTTCGATTCCAAGGGAAATATTATAATTTTGTTGATTTCATGTCATCAAAAATATATCTTACAATTGTGCGAATACCTTCATTTATTTATTTTTCTATTTACTATTTTTATAAACTTAAGTCAATTTTCCTAAAAAATTAATTTTCAGACTCACACCTTTTAAGCCAAAACTTCGACACTAGGTCGTCGCATCTTCAAAATATCGTCCAAACAAACCATTTTAGCCAAACAAACCATTTTAATCAAACAAACAATTTTAATAAAAATAGATATTTCAAAAGGTTCCTGCGGAGTACTGTAGATGCATTGGGTGTTAATACCTTCCCATTGCATAAACAACCCTCGAACTCTAGATCTCTTTTAAAAAAACGCATTGTATTTTCATTACTTTTAAGTACTATTTTGCATTGCATATTTAAGGGTTTTATTTCGCTCTTTTCCCTTTTCCCTTTTCCCTTGGAAATAATGAAGCGCACAGGCAACTCTTGCTTTTCTGAGTCGAGTTAATTAATAGCTCGATCTCCGATTGCCCCGCTACATTTTTTATCGCTACAGAATTTGAGACTCTGTTGGGAACAGATTGACTTCTTGTTGGTCCATCCCTAAGTGGGTGAAGCCTAGTTTGTCTTATTTGTTTTATTATTATTTGATTATTTAATTATATGTTATATATTGTTGTTATTTGGGTGTTAATGATATTTACAAAGGACGAGTCCTATACCCGGGCGAAGTTACACTAAGGAATATGATGGGCGGTATAGTCATGTTAAATTTAAAGGAGTAATCCTGAAGAAGGAGATATGAAATCCCCCACTCGGTGGAATCCCCTTTGAATCTAGTATTTTTTTACTGAGTAATCTGGAAGACATTATTGCTTTCGACCTGGGACCTAGAGAAGTTGAGAACTGTAGAATTCTTAACCCATCTTGGCCTTTTAAGTGTAGTGTGGAGACTATAACAAATTAATCCAGAGGTAGTTGTCACGCGATGCTACACTCAGACGAGTTTCTCTTGAGAATATTTCTAATTACTGAGTAATTGAGATGTTGGTAATATCTGAAGGAGGAATGTAGACTCTGGGAACTTTTAGAACCTCGTTTTACAGGTGTGATTAAACCTTTAGTGCATACCTTGGGAGTGAGCTTTACCTTTGACTACATGCTCGAAGCGTTGAACCTTTGAACCCCATATTTGTGAACTTATGTATAACTATTGCATTATCATTCATTCATGCATCCATAAGCATTTTTTTAAACAAGTATTTTCAAGGAACTTAAGAATGATTTTTGCATACATCTCAGGTACTGTTACCATGGATTTTGGAAAAAGAAACACTCAGATTTATAGTTTCAAGGAACCTGAGATTGAAGAGTTGAAGAGTTTGATTCCCAAGATTGATAACCCTATGGAGTTTCGAAATAAATATGGATCTATTATTCCTCTTATGAAGCGCAAGATGAAGGAATGCATCCTTAGTATGTTGGTCCAATTCTATGATCGTTGTATCGATGCTTCACTTTTCCTGATTACCAGTTGATGCCCACTTTGGAAGATTATTACTATATACTTGGTTTTCCAATCACCGACTATGTTCCTTTCTCTAGTTTAGAAGGGGAACCCAAATCCCACGAGATAACAACAATCACCCACTTAAGGAAGTCTGAGATAGAAGAGAACATGACTACTAAGGGAGGAATCTGAGGCTAACCTGCATAGTTTTTCTTGAAGAAAGCTCGTCACTTCGCCGAGATAAAGGATATTGTCGCCTTTGAAGATGTCTTTGCTTTACTTGCTTATGGTTTGTTCTTATTCCCTAACATCGATAAGTTCGTGGATACTAACGCCATTAGAATCTTCTTGATTGGAAATTTAGTCCCTACATTTCTAGGAGATACCTTCTATTCCATCCATCTTCGGAACTCCTACCAAGGTGGGATGATTATCTGTTGTGCACCATTGTTATACTAGTGGTATGTTTTCCATTTACCTAGGTCTAATGTTTTCTGGTTTCTCAAGAAAGAGACACGAAGGGCGCCAAAACTTATGGCTCTTACTCATTCTGACATAGATAGGTATAATAAAGCTTACTACAACGTGAAGATCATTAATAGTTGTGGTGTTTTTCCCAATGTTCCTCCTCTTGGTACGAAAGGGATAATTAATTACGATCCTATTCTTGCGTGCCACCAGTTTAGATACCCGGTGAAGGACAAACCGAATAACATTCATTTGAGTGGTTTCTTTCTACAAGAAGGAAAAGATCACAAAGCATCTAAGGAGGAGATTGAAAGGGCTTGGCTTCATATCCATAGAAAGGGGAGAGACATGTTAGGACATAAAGGTGTTGTTTCTTTGGAGCCTTATCTTCAATGGGTTCCTGGTAGGGTTTGTGTTCTCAAAATGCCTTATTATCCCTAGAAACATTTATTCCCTATTGCTACATCATCATTTATTACCATTCCTATTGAGAACATAAGAGAGTATCAGGGAAATCTGGCTAGAGTGGAGTCTGAAAGAGATGCTTGGAAGGAAAAGTATAGTATGTCTAAATACGAAAATAGGGTCCTGACTCGACAGCTGAAGGAGAAGGAGGATATGTTATTTATTCAATATGGTTGGTTTATTGATCATGATGAGAAGCTTCGTCAGAAGGATGCTTTGCTCAAGAAATACACTAAGGAAAAGAAGAGAAAGAAGGAAGATTTGGTAGGCGTTACTCCTGTTCCTAATCCATGGAAGAAAGTCATTGAGCAGTTGGTGGTCGAGAAGACAGAGATGGAAGACTTCTATGAGAAGAAGATTAGGAAGCTCAAGTTACAAGTGGCATTTGGCCCTTCGTCTGATGATGATTCTGACTGATCTTTAGTTCCTAATTTTTTATTGCTTATGTCATTTTGTAAAACTCTTTAAGAGGGATTTTATGTTCCAAGGTTGTAATTTATTGCTTTTATTAATGAAAGGAGATTTGTTGTGAAAAAGTTGTAATTTACTGCTTTTTATTAATGAAATATTTTTTTGTTGTTCCAAAATTCCTTTACCATTAATGTGTGCAAAGTTATCAAAGTTCTAAAGTCCCTTGAAAAACTATCAAAATAAATAATCATTTGGATCGCATATCATGCATCATTCGACATTCAATCTTACATGTTTTCTAGAGTCTTATTATTGCTTCTTTTTCCACTCTGATAGATCGTTAAGTTGTTTCACCGGTATAATACTCGGGCCAATCGTTGAAAGAGAATGGAAGATCTAGAGCAAGAAAATCATGAGCTTTTTGAGAAGGTTACTACTCTTCGTACTGGAATGGGAAAGTTGACTGCTTTGGTGGAAATCTTGATGGCTGCTCAAAATCATCCATCAACTTCGGCCATTGAAATTCAAGCTCAAACTATTATGGTTTCCGAGATCGTCACTGCTCCAGCATCTTTGGCTCAAGTCAACTCTCTGCAACATCAAAAGCCGAAAGGTTTTCCATGGGGTATGCCATACAATTTCATGCCATAAGGGTACCATCCTGTTGTACAACCCATGATTCAACCTGTTGTGTCCTTTCCTCAACCTGAGATGACTACTTTGCAACCTGTGATCCATCTTATGGTATCTTTCCCTCATCGTGTAATGACTATTGTTGCTCCCGTGGTTCACACTATTCCATATACAAATGAACCCATTTATCATGATGAACCTACTGAAAGTTTGGGCATCTTCGATAGGATGGAGGAATTCCAAGACCAATTCCAAGAGATGCAGAGGGAAATTAGAGCACTTAAAGGGAAAGACTTGTTCAGGAAAAGTTCTCATGACTTGTGTTTGGTCCTGAACATGAAAATTCCAGCGAAGTTCAAAGTGTCGGACTTTGAAAAGTAAAATGGTGACTAGTGTCTGCAATTTCACTTGACCATGTATGTGAGG